TGGGTTCGATTTGGCACTTATCTTACCATAACATTTTGGATTATAGCTCCTGATCGTACGAAAATCGCACACATAGCTTGTAGGTCACAATTTTTATTCGATTTATTTTAAAACCAAAATTGTGTATTTGACCGTAATTTCCTGGATTTTAGCCCCTGGTTGAACGAAAATTGCGTACATAGCTTGTGCGCCCCAAAGAAATAATTTTGATTCTTTTCCAAAAATATTGTGAACGCGATACAGGATATAGTTTTAACAAATTGTTTTTTTTTTATCAAATTAGGTTATGGCCCCTTAGCCGAATACCCCTTCAATATTCAACCTTCTGTAAAATATAAAATATTATTTATAAACCAAAACAAACACAATAAAAACTTAAAATAATTTACTTTTACACGTAAAATACTTTGGTTTTTCTTTTAGAGAAAAAATAACCTATGTATGAAAGCAAAAATGTCGTGTTTTTGGATTATATAAAAAGGCACAACGTCACATGTCCTTAATGGACCACCATAAAATAAGCAGCTCCACCTGTTACCATAATGAGAGTTATAATTATGACTTATCATAACGGATTTAAAGGTAGTCATAATTTTAACGCACATTATGCTAACAGATGGCGCTGTTTATTATATAGTGGCTCATTGGGGACATGTAAAATCTCGCCCTTTTGATTACCCGTCAGACGTCAAAAATACTAAAATATTTTACGTACAAAAGCAAATTATTCTAGATATTTTTCAGATGAATAAATAGCTACCCTTTCGTGCATGTGCCCTAATACGGCCTTATCAATTGATGTAGCCTCTTTTTTTTTGCAATATTCATTCTCGATATTTTTGAGAGAAGGAATAGGCTATTTTTTTCTCTAAAGATAAATAGAATATATTACGTACAAAAGTAAATTATTCTGATAATATTTAAGTAATATAGAAATACACCAGTAGAACAAAGTTATTTTGTGTGTTTGTTTTGGTTTATAAAAAAAAATTTCTTATTTTATTTTTGATTGAATTGAGAAACAGGAAATGATAATTCAGATATAAAATTAAAGCAAAGCGCCCCCCCCCCCCACACACACCCACCAACCCAAATTCGTTTGGCCTTTATCCAATTAGTTATGACACCAAACTTTGGAATGAGATTAATAAGATCAATGCAAGCGGCTAATCCGATGATTTGGAAATTTAACATACATTATGCAAGAGCTGAATCTGCCTATTGCAGGTCTATCTTTAGGCCTGAAATGTTATCTAAATTATTAATTAGACATTAATTAACTTATCCAGACTATAATCAACTGCCGATGTCATCGCTAGCCTGCGATGTTTACTGGATTAGGATCTGATCTGCTGCTCAACGCTCATTCATAATTAAATAAAAAAATGGATAATCGAGATTATGTTTTTTTTTCGTACCGACTTTAGTAATGATGATCGAGGCTAGGCCCAAATTCAATCGCTAAATTCTCGGTTCAGAGTGGAACTGAAGTTTTCAGCAAATTCTCTTTACATTAGTCAGCTCTTTGAGCCTTTCTATTCTCCAATAATTTATCTTTAAATTAAATGAAATCGAGTTTAACATCCCGTCGTTCAGCATCAACTGTGCTATTCAAGACGGGAATACGCCATGAAGTGTGCAGTGTGAGGCGATTTTGCACGGACAGCGGCGCTACGGCCTACTCTTATTTCAAATCCCAACGTCCAGGGTTCTTTTACGTGCACGCTATAAGAACGACTAGACAGTGTTCCTTGTCAGGAACCACGTCTTGCATCACTGAAAAGGGGAAATCACGCCGGAAAACCCGAGGGACTTTCTCTTCCAACACCGGGAGCGAACCCGAGACCGAGTCAGGGACATACTCACCAAGCCACCGCGGCTCACGATGATTTGGAGAAAGTTAAAATAATATCAAAAATACTTTACATGTGTACGAAAAATATTTAATAAATTTGAGGGAAAAAGATACGCTAAACTTATCATTACCTATATATTTATTTATTCACTCCCGTGCATGACGTAATGAGTTCTTTCTATATATTTTATTGTTCTTTTAGAAACAAAATATGCCACATCAATCGATATAGCAGTATATTGGAAAATGCACGACAGCGAAGCCTATTTATATATTTTAAAAATATCTACAATATTTTGCTTTTGTACATAAAATATTTTATGATTTTTATCTGTCGGGTTATGAAAAAGGCGAGATTTTACATGTCCCTAATCAGCCCCCATACAATAAATAGCGCCATCTGTTACCAAAATGAGCTTAGAATTATGACGGCTTTACCGCGTAACATTTGTGAAATGTCAAAATGTTAACGAAAATATACAGACTACAATAAATTAAATGTAATAATGGAAATAGAACAAAATACAAATTCTAACTACATCATTTAAAAAATAAGTTATATAAATTAGCATTTTTACATGTCTAAATAACCAATTTAACATGTATTAGTAAGAACTTACATGTATAGAAGTAAGCATATTAGCATACGCATTACTAGGTTAGGAGTTAGAATTATGGGGGAAATCCCGCTCCATATATTTGCGAACGAGGGGCGGCCATTTTGTACGTCAGTTTCGGTCCGATTTTTACGAATTCGTACTCAACCAGCCTAAGGGTGTAACGGTGATATATTGTAACGTTTTTTAAATCGGATAAAAATTGTTACCTCTACAGTGTCCACAAGCTAAAAACGTGATTTTTCGTACAATCAGGGGTCATAATCCATGGAGTTACAGTCCGATACATGCAAATAACCGAGATCTTAGGGTAATAAACCTATATTTCAAGTTTCATTGAAATCGGATAAAAATTGTGACCTGTAGCGTGTTCACAAACAATTGTGGACGGACGGACGGACAGGGGCGACGGCAATATACGTCCACATGAAAAAAAGAACAATAGTCGTAAATTAAAATACATCCTAAATAATTCAAAAATTATAAATAGTCTAAAACAACCTCAAAATCTTAGAAGAATATTAACATCATCAAAGTTTGATTCTGATATTTCTGTACTCCGTGTATCCAACTGTGGGGACCTACGATGTATCACATGTTCCGATATATTAGAAGGAACATTTGTCCAAAATTACTAAAGATGTTAAATTCTATGTTAAACAAAATATGAATTGCAAATCGAAGTATGTAATTTACTTATTAATATGTAATGGTTGTAATGGCAAGTACATTGGAAAAAAATACTGATCAGTTGAATTTACGAATTAACCAACATTGTTCTAATATAAAACTCGCAAGAAATAGAGTTAGCGAACATTTGGATATTTGTGGTAAAGGTCAATTCAAGATTTTTCCTTTGTACAAACACAATATTATTGATAATGATCTCTTGGAAACAAAAGAAAGCAACTTTATCGCTAAATATAACCCGATTTTGAATGCTAAGGGGTGATTATTTTAATTATGTTTGATATTTAATTAATGTTATTTCGTTTTATTTTTTATACTTCACATAGTCATTGTGCTCTGTTATGACGTAACGTTATTGTAACAGCATAGTAACGCATTAAAATGGCCTGACGATTCGTTTGATAACGATGAAAGTACTAGCCAAAATTTTAATTGTTAGTGTTTTTTCTCTAAAAATTGAATTTAATTTACATATATATATATATATATATATATCAATAGATGTATGAAGTTAAAATCGTAGTAGTGTTAATATAGAAAAAAAGTACTATTGTTTAATTGTCTACATGTTTCGCCTGAGCTTGTCAAGACATACAAGAACAATAACAATGACGTGACGTCATGGAAGAATAAACATACAATAATATAATAATAATAGGTAGATAATAAGGGATCTTCCTTAAATTTGGTTCCCTGATATGTTGTCTATGAACCGTTACTCTGTTTTGTAACTTTTTCGTGCAGCCGATGTAGAGTTCGGCACAGCCACGAAATTTTATGACATATAATACATGAGTTACTTTACAGTTCATACTTTCATTGACAAAAAATTATTTTCCACTGTCAAATATAAATGATTTACCTTCAATTAAATATTTACACGTGCCGCAATTATCCCTTCCACATTTTACAACTTCCTTAATTGGACTGAATGATTCAAATTTAGCCCTAGTTAACAGTGATTTAAGGGCTTTAGCTTGTCTTTTTGACGGGATAAATGTTTGTGTGACAAATGCAATTACATTGTGATTTGTATCTTTTTGACGGGATAAATGTTTGTGTGACAAATGCAATTATATTGTGATTTGTATCTTTTATCTTTACCTGCCTTAATTCCGTTAACGGTATTTTGCTAGCCCTTTGAATTTCGTCATTAATTAATGTGGAGGGATATTTGCGGGCTAGCAGAAATTCTCTCAATTCCTGTAGTCTTTGAAATTCAGTTACCTTGTTAGACACGATGGTACAGATACGCCTAGCCAAATTATATAGTACAGCCGTTTTTATGTGTTTAGGGTGACACGAATTGAATTCGAGATACTGTTTAGTATCAGTATCTTTATAATATATATCAGATTCAATAATATCCCCGTTTTTGATTACCATTATGTCTAAAAATGGTATTCTATCTGTACTAGTTTCCATTGTAAATTGGATATTCGGATGAATATTATTGATTATGTTATAAAATAAAAGGAGATTATCAAATGATTGGAGCCAGATGAAGAAACAATCATCTAAGTATCGTTGCTACTGTTTTTCGAAATATATTCTGGTCTCCAAGTCAAATGTTTCTTCTACTTTCGTAGCAATGGTTAATTCTAAATATCCAAGGACTAAAATTGCCAGCGAGGGTGAGAATTTACTCCCCACTGCACAGCCAATAAGTTGTTTATAATAGTTAGAATCAAAATAAAAACAGTTGTTTTCTAATATAAAGTCGATGCTTTGTAATATAAATGACTCCGAAAAACATTCTTCTCTATCGTCTGGATATTTAGATAACCAGTACTTTACAGCAATCGGACATTGATGAATGAATACAAATATGTACTTACAAATAAATTTGATAATTAGAAACACACATGCTAAGCGTCGTAAAATCCCAGACATGATATGCCACAGTTTACAACAACTTGTTTTTTCCTAACACTATCCTCATGTGATGATGTAAAACCGCTATAACTTGTTATCGACAAAGCTTCAACATAATCGACAGTGTATTAATGCACGACAACACCAGCCAGATGTTAGCAGTTTTGCCTAGGATATTTTGTGTTCGCTGTGCCCTGTTCTTATCACGACTTCACGCCGTTTATAACTGACAATTTACTTCAGTTTGCACCAATCAACAACGTGAATGAGTTGTAACTAGTTATGGAAGGGATCTGTATTGTTTTTTTCGTGACATCATTTGGTAATGTATTATTATATTATATAATATTACGGTTTATAATCAACTGAAAACAGCGCAATACAGATTTATATATATTTATACTTTATTCTAATTCACTTCTGAAATAAGGTTTAAATTCTTATATATATATTTTACTCTTATTCACATTTGAAATCGGGTCTAACTTTTCTGCACCGCTCGGAGATTCACCATACAGTGAGGGGAAATTTTCTCGGACAGTGTCACTTTTAGTTCTAATTTAGTCCAGGGAATCTTTAACGTCAATAAAGCTAGCGTCCAGTCTATCGGACTACTTAGCTCCTATAATATTTCGTTATAGGGGTTATCTAAACGCGCTTATTCGATAATGTTTGTAGTTTAAATTAGAAATTCCAAACAGTAAGAAAAAAGCAATGACAAGTACATTTCAATATGCCGCTTCTTAATTCTGGACTACCACAAACTGAAACACGCGCCATCATGTTTTATTTGCAAAAAAGGAGAAAGTAAAACATGTCATATCTTTACTGTTATCCTAAGAATGTATGTTTATTTGCCATTTTTTTCTTTCTTTTTTGTTTGATTTTCCTCCTTGCTAAGCTTATATAATATGATGTATATGCACTTTGTAAATATTGTTACTGTGTAGTTGTTAGTTTTATGAAATAGGAGGGGCATGTTGAAACATCAGGAACCTGCCAATTCTGTACTAAATGGCGTGGTTCCCCTTGTCAGTGATGCAGGACGGAGGGCCTGACAAGGACAGCTGTCTAGTCGTCCGGATGGAACGAAAAACCGAGGTCATGTTTATAAAATTGTGCGGGAGCCATAAAAAGCTCCTGATACCTTGAATATATGCAGTTTAAAAGTAAACAAAAACTGAAAGTAGTTTATTAATCTCAATATTTAGGAGAGCGATTTAGCTAATTTGCAGGAGTCTTTAAGGTGTAGGACGAGGAAGTCCGGCAAGAGAAAACGTGTAGTCGTTCGGATCGAACGAAAAACCGAGGTCCCGCGTACACATTGGCGTGTACGTAAAAGATCCCTTGACAGTTGGAATTCGATATAAGAGTAGGCCATAGTTCAGCTGTCCGGACACAATTTCCCTAATAGCACACTGTATGGCGTATGCCCGTCTTCATTAGCCCAGTTCGGAGCAGAACAGTAGGACGTTAAACCCCATTTCATTTCATTTTCAAAATTATAAAATAATTTGATGGCTTAATATTCAAAAGGTACAGTCCTTCATGTTTATAAAATTGTGCGGGAGCCATAAAAAGCTCCTGATACCTTGAATATATGCAGTTTAAAAGTAAACAAAAACTGAAAGTAGTTTATTAATCTCAATATTTAGGAGAGCGATTTAGCTAATTTGCAGGAGTCTTTAAGGTGTAGGACGAGGAAGTCCGGCAAGAGAAAACGTGTAGTCGTTCGGATCGAACGAAAAACCGAGGTCCCGCGTACACATTGGCGTGTACGTAAAAGATCCCTTGACAGTTGGAATTCGATATAAGAGTAGGCCATAGTTCCGCTGTCCGGACACAATTTCCCTAATAGCACACTGTATGGCGTATGCCCGTCTTCATTAGCCCAGTTCGGAGCAGAACAGTAGGACGTTAAACCCCATTAAATTTCATTCCATTTCTGTTCTCTCAGAAATATAGTCATCCATATTATTATAGAATACACTACAATAACCTGTCATTTGCATCCTCCCCTACCCCACAAAAAAATCCTATACATAAAGTTTGAATTCGTTTCTTTGAAATTTGTTCTTATACATGTATGTATGTTTGTTCGGGTGGACGGAGGGGTCTCAAATATCGATATTTTGACCCAACTATCATTTATAAATTACGAATCCTTCTCTTGAACCCATATATGGGATTCAAACAACTGGTAGGTATGTCTTTTTAGCTGTTGCACACTAAATAATTAAAAGGCTAGAGTTGTCGATCTTTATTAATTGGGTTTCAACTGTATATTAAATTGGACAATAATTATACATTTACTGTTTCATTATTACAGTGGCTGTTAATCATATTTGTCAATCTTTGGAAGTTTGCGGACCTAGTAATAGAACAATATCACTGGTATACGAATATAATGAAACAAGAAACGCGGTAACATGGAGGAGAGGAGATAGGAGTTTTCTCGCTGTTGTATCTTATCCTGGTTGTGTATCATCTTTAAATGACACTAAATACACATTTTTATGTGAAAATGGTGGTCGAAAGTTTGTTCTAGAAGTCAACAACCCGGATGATGGAGAAGTCTATTATACAGTAAAAATAGCAGATAATAGAACTATTGTAATTCAAGGTAAACTGTTTATATATATTTATGGTTGAGATATAGAATCTCGTCATGTTTTACTACCAATAGTTATTACCTAAAATATTCAGTTAACCCTACTTCTACTAAGGTCCATCGAACATATTATATCTTACGCCTTATAGCATTCATATCGCTAGAAATTGGTTGTTAATTACTGAGGGGCAGGGCATATCTAGAGTTACAAAAAGGTAACACGGGGTACAATTGTATGGATACACAATTACTGAGGTTAACACTAATCGACGTTTCGACGGGGATACTCTCGTCTTTATCAAGCAAGTCATCATTTAGTTTTTAAGGGTTTTTTTTAAATGTGAAGGCAATGATTCACCAAAATGTTGAAATGAATCTGTTAAATTATGTAGTTTCTATCGTGTTCACACGGTTTTCGGCAATGGGGGAGGGGGGGGGGCTTATAATCGCAATAACTCTGTATAAGATGACTGACCTTTATAATTTCAAATAGGAATTTTTTTGATCCAGATATCAATACTTCTAAAAAAAGTTACAGAAGAAACAAAAACAATTGCTAGCTGAATAACCCGCACCCATGCCATCCCTCTCAGTGCCACCCCTCTCGTTCAAGAACGGGAAAATTGTCCAAATGCTTCGCTATTTTCGGCATAACTCCAGAACGGAATTTGCAGTACCTTCATGTCTACAATTTTTCACACCAAATTTGAAAAGAATTCGGTAGAAAGTGAAGCCTCTATCGCGAAACTGAATAGCAATGGGGTTCGCCCCTTACGACCACAAAGATTCTCACCAAAACCAGATATGGTGACGGCATAAGACAATGAAAAGAAAGCGCGTGTATTAAAATCTTTTAAATCTTTTACACCAGGTTTTATGAAAATTCGCCATGTTATAAATTAGAGAGTTTGGAAAGGGGCTCCGGGAATACAAGTTATCGATAAAGTTCGTCCCCGACGGATAAACTATAATATTCACTAATCAAAATTGGTGATTATATTGGCCCCTGTCCGCACTCAGCTTCCGGTCTAATATTTGCCATGTGTAGTTGAAGACTACTTTGTGGACATATTTCATACCATAATTCAATACCGCAACAATAAAGGTACATCGCTTAACATTTAAATACAGAACTGGCAGTTCTGGCTATAAAACTAATAGTTAAACAAGCCAACGGCGAGACTGATGTCCCCCGCCGAACTCCCAAAATAAATTGATGACACATATTTATTAATAGTACATTTATTTTTTTGAAAAGTATCAAGCAACCAAACTGATTATCAACTATACACTAAGTTTCATCACTCTCTATCAGATTGATTCTAGAATCAAAGTTATCTTGTCCCAAAGCAACGACCAATGAAATTGCTTAGCTCTGCTTAGCTTTAGCTCAAAATGTTTATCATTGAACTCAGTTAAGACATTCACCTAATGAACATCTACATCAAGTTTAAACATTTTTCCTCAATTAAAAGCAGAGTTGTTATGTTCCAAAGTTTTGACCGATCAAATTGCTTATCGTTCCTTATCCTAAGCAGAAAATTCTCATCACCAAACTTAATCAAGGTAATGATATAATGAATCTATACTCGGAATGTCATCACTCTCACGTAATTAAAACCAAAGTTATCGTGCTCCAAAGCATCAAGCAATCAGATTGCTTACCGTAAGCAGACAATGTATATCATCAAACTTCATCAAGGTATTCACCTAATGAAACGCCTGCACCAAGTTTGAACATTCTACCTCAATTAGAAGGAGAGTTATTGTGTTCCAAAATCTCCACCATCAAATTGCTTATCACTCTGCTTACCCTGAGCAGAAAATGCTCCTTATCGAACTAAGTCAAGGTATTGATGTGATAAAACTATATAGTCGGAGAGAAATAAAAAACTACCGAGAACAAATTGCAAAAGAATTTCTTTCACTGGATTCTAGTAAAGGGATGTCTAAAGGACTCCCAACTCAAAATTGTCCGCTGAAACCCTGTAATGTTTTTCATAATTAGCAAAAATCCAAGATGGCCGCCAATTGGACTTTCTGGCCTCCATATCTTGGAAACGGCTCGTTTTAGAGCAATAAATATATTATCATTAGATACAAAAGTGATATCAACGAATCGGAAAATAAAATTATCACAACGCCAGCAGGTTATGGTGTGACGCCCTGACGTCACACTGTCGTTATTTTGACGTCAAAACACTGTTTTGATACTGAATAAGCTGGTTTGACGTGAGTTCTGATGTCTTAGAGAAGTCAGAATAAGCGGGCTGTGACCTAGTTTGTTTTTGTGACACTGACTGACTGGACTGGAATCCAATCTGGGCCCAGTTGTTCAACTTGTGGTTAAATTTAACAATGTGGTTAAATAATTTAACGACATCGTTATATTTAACGACTGAAGAAGTCTGTTGTTCATCGTGTCGTTAAATTTAACGCATGGTTATGTCATCGTTAAAATGGTCCATATTTAATCCACCTAGCAGGGCATCGTTAAATGATTAAAT